ACTTCTTCAGGGTACTACACTAAAATACGTCCATTCTTAATCCCTCACAATGTTTTACCTCTTGAGGATGCACAGTATTATTTGGACTCAGAGGCTGTAATATTACATGAATATTTTACCTATTACATAAACACCAAACTAGAACACAGAAAGCATATTTTCACAGCACTAACAACCCACACATGTAACTATAGTGAAAAAAATTATAGTAATATACTTAGCATCTCTTCTTCTCTTAAATTTTTGTTTCCATGCCACCTTATCATTAAATGAAAGGTGATGTTATTTCTTGAAATTCAACACTAATTGAAAAATGAAATGTCCTCGTTGAATGTCATATGTCTCTTTTATACACTTATTTACAGAAAAACAAAAACATACAATAAAAGATACAAGACAGAAAACAGCAAGGAAAACTGTATTCATAGTATTTACACTGCCTTAAAAATATGGAAGGTGAAATAGCTAGGATGACTTTTCTAACATTTCTTAACAGAAGTGAACTGTTAAACATGATACTTCACAATGAATTAAAATAAAAATATTTCATACGCACCGCTGCAGTTCACACTCCTAAAATTAAACAGTGAAAATGAAGAGAGATCATGGTTGCATTCTTGGCTCTAGTTGTAGAAGCTCAGCATAGCGTCCATAAACTAGATATTACATTACTAATCCAATATACAGTTGTACAAATATATTTACGTTCGAGGTGGTGGCGGAGGTGGAGGTGGTGGTGGTGGATAGTAGGCCTTCGCAGCTGCCACAGTGAAGAAGGATGAAGCACTTGCTGGAGATGCTGGTTGTTGCTGATTTGTAGAATTTGTCTGATGATTTCCTGCTGGCAGTGGTGGACTGACAAAATGGGTAGTTCCTTGTGAAGTTCCACTATTTGGAACACCTCTTCCAGGACCTACCATCATAACTGTTTGAGGGGATAAATTTGAAGATGCTGTTCCATATGGTCCTGACATAACAAACTGAGTATTCCCAGTGCCTGACGACGGTAATGGTGGTGGTGGTGGTGGTGGCGGCGGCGGTGGTGGTGGTGGAGGTGGTGTTGTAAGGAGGTATTTCTGTGTTGCCTTACAACTTCCACTGTTTACTAAGGAAGACGGATAGACTGCTGTTACTGATGGTGGAGGTATAGCAGAGCTCTTCATAGATGTGACAGTAGAATTTGGCAATCCTTTTCCTCCTAGACTGGCTGGGAAGGATCCATATGTCTGGGTCTTCAATGGAGTAGTAAGAGAGTATAGATTATATCCTTGTCCACTCAACGACTGACGATTTGATGGTGGCAAGTTTGAATTTGCAGTTGCATAACCTGGATTACCACTGGCAGAAATGTAATTTACTGAGGTACCAACAGGAACAGAACTGCTTGGTACAAGAACTGAAGGATATACAGGTGATAAAGTTGAATTAGCCTGGCCAAGTTTTTGAGCAGATGAATACAATGTAATCAAATGCTGTGTACTGGACACCAAGGATGGCGAAGAGGTGGTTGNTGAGGCACGACAGTTACATTTTATCAGTTGTATGAGAAAACCCCTTACAGATACCCAATGCAAAGACAAAAGAACGCACTTTCGTCATTTCTTGTATGGATTTCACATACACAATGAAACTTCTATTTTACAATCTACTTTTACATCTCTCATGAATTTATGCACTTTTTGTGTTGTTCCAGCCAAATGCTCATAAGAATAACGCTACACTTTATTGGATCTTACATTTCCACAACTTTAAATGTTCCCCCTGAATTTGCACTTCATTTTTCTAAACCTGACTATGAAAATTTACCCGATTCTATGTTTTGTAGCTCAACTCTCACAATTTATTATCTGAAACAATGGGCCTCTTTCCCTGTTATAAGTTGCAAATAGTTTGGGCTGAAAATACTCAAGTGGCTGATGCATAACTGCAAATGATCACTGTGTGCACCAAGTGATTTCACTACGGCCTACAGCAGCGGTTCTCAACCTTTTTAGACTGTGGCCCAGTAAATTCTTTTTTCTATAAGATGAGGGCCTAGTATAACTGATGCCAGGCCCTGGTGGTTGAGAAAAACTGGCCTAGAGTGCATGAGTGGATTTTTCCACAGCCTTGGTCCAAACAGCTCATGTGCTACACCAGCTCTGAACCTGATGCAGCTTAGTATAACTGTAATTCAGAGAGTGTATTTTGTCCTTCCCAAGTCTGACAAGTATACCAAAGAATGACCATTGCAACAGTGACCAATGGGCTTTCACAAGTGAAACATTTAACAGAAATGCACCCAGATTAAATTAATCAATTTTCCTGTGCCCATGTAACTTCACTGCATAAAAAACAAATTTTATTATACATCAAGACAAATTTCACAGCAAGAGGGTCAAATATGGATAATAAAGGAAATCCTAAACCAGTAAGTCATATAATATTTTAGAGCAAGCTGATACACATACTGGAACACAAAAACCTATATCAGTTACAGTAAGTGATAAAATAAATATTTTAGAGCAAGTTGATGCATATATTGAAAAACACATTGAACAGGCATCATGGTTGAGACTTCCAGTGACCACACTAAAGCCCACTGTGAAGAACCGTGAAAAAACTGTATATTTTAAATGAATTTCCAAAGTTAGAGCATAATACAGACCACAATTTTCTTTCTGTTCAAATATTCAACTCCCCTTAACTTTACACTTGCCTCAATTTTACAGTTGCTTTAGGTGGTCCCTTAAAGAACACAAAATTGAGGTTTCACTATGTACACTGTAATGATCACAAATTCAACTAGTCTCTAATGTAATGGCACTTTCATGGGTACTGCTGCCAGTGGTATGAGAATTGCTGCATGGCAGGAAAACATATGGATTTTGCAGAGTTATTTCTGAACTAGTTTATAAACGTGGTTAATTTTTTTTTATATATATTTCTGCTGGTTGGACAGGAATTCTGGATGCATGGACAACGGACAACCAGGAGTTTACCGTATATGCTACATACAAGAGATAGGTAAGGGAAAGTTGTCCCAGTCCCTAATTAAGCACTATGCCATGAAGATGTATGAGGGAATCAATGTAGAGATTCATATTTTCTTAGAGATGGCACTAGATGGAAGCGAGTGGTCACCTTCACGCTCCAACCGCGTTACCCCCGTGTATCCACTGGATAGGAGGATGGGTGGGCCACAAAACTGGTCTGGATGATGTATAGAAAAGAAAATTCTTGACCCTACCAGGACACAAACTCCAACCCCACAGTCATCCAGCCCGTAGCCAGTCACTATACTGATGCACTATCCCACCTCCATATACAACAGAGCGAGGGTAGTTAAAGTTCTGTGCCTAATATTAGATTAAGAGGTTATGAAAATGAAATGAATGTGTTAAAGATAATTTTATTATGGAACATGTTTGTCATTCATTTGGAAAATGATCAAAACTGGTTCCCAAATAAATCATGTTAACCGTGAACATGCTGCAACTTATTTCAAGAACCAAATTCCTCTATCTTCTGAACAAATCTCTCACTTTCACGTGTCTATCCACGAGGCTTTTAAATTACAGAGACCATTAATAATGTCATGCTGACAAAATCAACAAAGTGTAATGGAAAATATAGCATATGACACTATTTACAGGATGTTTAGAAAATGTTAAGATTTCATGTGTCCTTTCAACATAACTGCTTCAAGCCTGTCCTACTGTAATTTTGTAGTGCAAATATAATTTACTAATGTAATAAAAATTAGAGCTGCTTCATACTAGGCCATATTGAATTTGCTGCACATTAATGATTAGATTATGGTTGTGCAGCTAGAATATCCAGCATGCAGTAGATGCTCCTTCCGATTATTGTGATATTCATAATTTTCACAATCAGAGATATCTTTGTTATGATACACTATTACTTCACGGGCACAATCCAATTAATAATCACTAGCTACTGTTCAAACCCCACTGGTATGACTTTCACCTAACATTTTAACATGTCATCATGTGCAGGACACCTTGGTCTTAAAAGGCCAGTCACCTTTGCATACAACACACACTTTGATAAAGGAAACATTTCCTTCTGGTAACTTATCTATTAGTTTCACTGTGAACTGATACACTGAAGTATTCATTAAAACTGTAAGATATTAATCCAGCAGAAAACTTTACACAGCTGACAGGAAAAACACTTTCTTACAAGGCTGCCATGAACATGTTGGGACATGTTAAACCACTGTAACAATGTAAAGCAGATCGATGTAGATGTGAACACCAAATCAATTTGAAAAATGAATGTCTTACAAATGCCATGAGGTCTGAATGGCCTAACATAGGAGGGAAAAGACCGAACACCATGGATAAAATTGAAACGCATGTCCATCAAAACCTCTGCTTTAGAGGATGGTACCTTGTAAGGGACAGAATGTATTCTGTTAACAGTTCAGTACTCAAAAACTATTCTAAGTACAACATGCAGAACTCAAAAATAACCTTTCATAACATAAATATTTCTAACCTCACTTATTGTCAAGAAAACATTTCTCAAGTAATAATTGTACAAATAACATGAGAAATATAAAGCAACGCAGAAACTTTTACATACAATTGGCAAAACATTCACAATGGTATTCCTTCTTTATCTGCATGAAAACAGTACCAACAAAATGATGACAGCTACCTGTATGAGTACTTACTCACAGCATATGTAGCCAACAAAAACATGAATTCACCCATAATAAATCCTTTTAGTGACAGAAAATTATTTACTAAAATTTTTCAAACCCCTTTAGAGGAAATGTAACTGACCAAAATCTGTCAGAACCCTTACAAGAAAATTAATTTACCTAAATTAGTCAGAACTGCTTAGAAAGTAATACCGGACCTCATCTGATTCATGGACATCTCTGTCATAACTGTTCTGCATGGAACTGTTCTACACATTTAAAATCTAAAACCAGAAAAAAAAATCACACCAATAAAATGCATAAAAATGATAACACCTGGGCCATTATACTACATAAGTACAAGCTCTTTCATGTTAGCTCACCTTGTTTGCGTGCTCTTTCTTGTTCTTCATCATCACTAAGAAAGAGTCCAAATTCTCTCCTCAGTCTCTCAGTGAGGTTCTCCCTCTGACGTTCAACAAGAGTTGGAGCAGAATTCCATCTCATGTAAGTTTCTTCTCCAACACCTATTCAGAGAAAGCAGAACACTGTGTTCAGGGGGGTCATTTAGAAAGGATGTCTTTTAACACTATAACACATAAGGTTTTTGTTACCTCTTTTATCATCAGATGTATCTGTATGGAGAAATAATGGGAGTGCAGAGAGAGCAGGTGAGCTGTCAAGCATGAGATTCTTGCTGGTTATAGAGGCACAAGCATTAGACATATCATCATCTGACGACACAGACGAGGATGAACTGCTTGTGCTGTCTGTACGACCCCTACTCTCTCTACAGACTGGTGAATTTCTAGTACCTCCATCACCCTCTATCCCTCCAGAGTTCAATTCTGTACTACTATTACGCTGCTTACGCTGACGATATTCTGAGATGGAAAGCTGAAAGAAGAAGAAATGTCGATGCAGTAAGACTATTTCATTCACAAAATGTGTCTGACAAAAACAATATACTGAAAAAGTAATCTCAAAGACCAACAACTCAAATTATTTTTTCTTTATAGTGATTTGGCACATTAATCATATTTAAATGTTGTGTTTATGTAGCACTAAAATTCAAAAACAGAAATGTAACAAATCCATAACAATTTGCTCAAAAGCCACATCAAATAAAAATTCATACACTTGATTATTACAGAACAGGTTAAAAAATTAGCTACTGTGAAATCCTCCGTCATGAAACTAAAAGAACAATGCACACCTAGAAAGGCTCCCACTTACAAGATTTTAGAACAAGTACTATAATACTGTATTGCAGCATCCTGCTGCACTATTCCATTTTTATTTTAAACCTCATTTTACTTGGTATTCAAGAACGAGACATGCAGCAAAGAACTCAGCAAGAAGAAGCACGACACCCTAACAACACACGTGTACATTCGATGGACCTACACATGTAATAGCAGTAATAACATAAAGCAGCAGTTTCCCCATTAGATAGATTCTAATGCCTGATGGCCATATTGGTTGAAACATGTTGTGACCTTTAAATTTTAAATTTATAACTTAAAATTTTTAAACTTTAAGTTGCGCATAAGACTGTAAAATAATATTTATAATAAAAACACGTATTATACTTGGGCAACAATTATTATCCAAAGGAGCATTATGATTTAGCTATAAAAACTGATCTTCTTGAGTTTCAGATTACAATTTACATGTATGAGTTTGGAACTACATCTTCCATCCCTCCTTGTGCAGTCCTGCATTCAACATTTAAAAATATTAGTCCTACATATTAAACATCACTTCATTATATAACTTCATAAATTTTGCAAGCTGGCTCAAGTAGTGGTTATAAAAAGTTGATGAGTCTGTAGATATAAATAAAAGTAGTACCATGTTCCATGGACATGCCTCTACATTCAGATCTTTAAATGATTCACATAATAAGATTAATTAAGAGTTTAGATTTCTTGCTGTGAAGGGCCGTTTCTCAAACAGAATTCTGGAGCTAAGAGGAGGATTGCAAATCTGCTTGCCAAAAATTCACAAAAATCTTCACTCTACAGCATATAGCCTCTTATGGGTCTTAAATTACAATTAAAGCACTGCTTAAGCAGAATGACATAGGTAAGTAAAATACTGTTTCAATAAAAATCAAGCCTACCGCTTAGGTGCTGCGAGATAGCTAGATGGAACAAATCTTAAAATCTAGTTAACAGTCTACATTAGTTCCTACCGTTCTAACCTTGCGCTTTGCGGGTTGGGCTGTCGCAGAGCTCACCACTACTGTCTGTGTAGCAGAAATAGTTTCATCCCTTGACACTTGAGGCTGTTTCAATGATGTATCTGGGTGATCCACTGAGATCTCATGTTTACAGGAAACAGTAAATCCACTCTCCATCTCTGGTAAAGCCACTTCAGGCATTTTCTGGTATAAATTTGAGCCTGGGGATACTTCAGTAACAGTTGTACCACATCTCTGGAAGGAACTTTTCAAAACATTTATCTCTGCAGAACCGATACCATCTATACTACCACTGTCTTGTTCTTTCACATTAACATCCTCAATAGTTATCTTCCCATTAAGTATTTTTGGCTTACTGACATTCAGAGTCTCTGTTTCACTACCCATGGTATCTTCACAACCTTGATTACTGCCATCTCCTTGATCTTCAAATCCTCTGCATCCCTCTTCTTCAGTCTCTTCACTTGAATTAACAGATAACTCAAGCTTTACATCTGCAACCTTTCCTCTCAGTAAGCCCTGAAAACAAACATTCTAGAAAACACATCAAGTTTTACTACCAAGTTGAATGCTTCCACCACTTCCAGACTACCAGTCACTAACAGCCTACCTGGCTGGACACTAGCAGTTCATTCTGATACAAGACTATCAACTGAGGTAAATACTATCAGTCAATGGCTCTGAAATGATTCATGCTCACATAAGTATGCTTTACATCTGAATGAATATTATGTCAAACTGCATGTTAATTTGTGATCACCACCAACTTGATAAAAGCTGCATCAAAAACGCATTAAGTACTGACAATCATTGCAAGTGAATATGGTTCACTGCACTGTTGAAAAACAATCCTTTGTACTAACTGTTTGTCAGGTGTGATTTTACTAGAAAATGTACAATTCCAAGCACATAAACTTATTAATGAAGTCTGCTCTACTGGTAACCTTTGTCCAAAGAACTTGTTAAAAAATGGTGTGCACTTACTGAAGACCAAGTAGATAAAACCCACGGATTAGACTAAACAGAACATTCACCTAATCTCTCCCCATACAACTTTTACTCATCTGACAGTTTGAAGGGAAAAATGTACAAAACAAACCCATACACATAAAATGCTCCGCTGAGAAACAATTTTACAATTTACTCATGAAAAAACTGTTCTCACCTGCTTAAATAAAATATATAAGCACTGCATTTTCAGAACCTACAATGCAGGCATGTTCAGTTTATCGTTCTCATGAAACAATTCTACACTGGTTTCTGGATTAAGAGGTAATGCTCTTCCGAAGGTAGGCCTTTACTAGCTGGTTTGTGGAAAGCGACTGAAGTATCTGATATAGTACAAACACAAATTTGGGATGTGCAAACAGAAATTCTGAAACTTTGAAGACCGAAACTTTACTATAAATATACCTTAAGAAATTATTCCTAACTAGTATTTCAAACATAATTACATAACGGGTACTCTTCTTCATACACACACATAAAACACTGTGCATTTGAGATAGTTTGCATTTACATCATATTTACAAACACAAGCCTCTCAAGATTTGTAGAAAGTAGGTTTTTCTCTTCTTGAGGTCACTACATTCTCTGGAATAGAAAACAACTGATTTCCCACTTATGTGGAAGGAACAGATACTTCAGAAGAACTCTGGCTAAAAAGTGGTGATTTTGTTAGTTTCCTATCATCACAATCATATATCAATTTTCTTTAAACTGGGGGGGGGGTTGTTAAGGCATGAAGTAGGATTTTCGCTTAGTGAGGGGTGGAGTCCAACTGGGTCCACTCGGCACAGCGGCCAATGATTGGCCTATTGTAGCCTGCCCTGGGTGATTATGATGGAGAATTTGGTGGAATGAAGATTGGCAGGGCAAACCAAAGTACTCGGAGAAAACCAACCCCAGCGCCACTTTGTCCACCACAAATTCCACTTGACCAGACCTGGGATCAAACCCAGGCCACTGCGGTGAGAAACCAGAGACTAACCGCTTGAGCTATTGTGCGGCCATAAGGCATGAAGTAAGTTAGAACCTGACATCTGAAAGACCGTGGGATAATTTCTCTCCTGAAACTTCTTTGCAAGCTTTCCACAGTTACATGCTTAGGTTTGATAAAACTAGATTTTCTGTCTGAAAACTACTTTTCACAGGAAACTTCTTTGAAGGCTTTTCAGTGAATGTGTATGCTTGGCAAATGAAAGATTTTGTCTGAAAACTATCCTTGATTCTTTCCAACATAATTTCTTGAATTTCACAATTTATCATAATATACATTAGACAGCAGATATGAGGGTTCGACTGACAACTGGATTTAACTGCAAATAATCACTTTCTCTGATCTACACTTCGTACACCTCACTGCTGAAAACACTAAGACTTCTGTATGTCTTCATTTGTCATTACTTTGTAATAATGTCTAACAGCGCAAATTCAAAACTCAACTGGTAACTGCTGACCTCTGACTCAAGACTGACTGGCTTATCCCATTCACCCTTGTCATATAGCCTCAGCGCAGACCGCACAAAAACCAACACTTATAGGAATTCCTAAACTGTTGAGTGACATGCTATGCAGGCCTAGCAATGGCTCAGGCACTGCTGATGCTGGAATATGTTTACCAAGCCATTGCCTAGCAATGGTCAACCATTCTCCACTATTCTGGCTTTTGGCCATCATACCACAATATTTTTGGCTGAAGTTCTTTTTGCTTCTAACAAAATAATGTCTTTGAAGCATGGATCCATTATCACTGCAATGAAAGTTTCTTTGTTAGTTTTATATCCTTGGAAAATGTTCTCAGTGCTAACTGGAATATTTATAAAAAATGTCAAAGCAGTTTTGTAATTTTCTTTATTACAATGTTTTCGGTCATTTTTCTGCCACACTATAAATCATAGGCATGGTTGCTGAAAGGTGAGATGATATTCCTCTGAACATAGCTGTTTTGATTCCATCAAGCTGCTGGAGAATTGCACTGCACTGAAATTTGTCCATCCACTGTAGGTACAGAAATCCCCCTGCTGGTGGTTACTTCTGTTACAAGAAACATGCACTGAAATTTGTCCATCCACTGTAGGTACAGAAATCCCCCTGCTGGTGGTTACTTCTGTTACAAGAAACAATGAGGCATACTAAACTCATTATTTCATTGCAAGCCTGGAACTTTAATTACTTCATCTCTTCCTGTACCTCCTTACAGCATTCATGTACCTTGGGACAGTTACTTTACACATTCAAGAGCCTCAGCCTTGAGTGTAACAACTCAGAAATTTAAGCGAAGATCTGCAATACCATTTCATTTATTTATTGCATTCTGTCAATCTATATAAGCTCAAACCAACCTATTGGATATAAAATCTGTCATGTTTAAACATAAAATAATAAAATATACATTCATAACCATGTTTGAACAGAAGATAATAAAATATTCATTCCTAACCCATACAAGGATAAATGAAAACACTAAGACCACTATAAATTAGTGCGGTCATATACAATAATATAAACACTGATACAGATGTAGTGAAAACATAAGCTGTGTAATTATATTATCCATAGGAGACACAATCAAGAAAAAGTGTTCGTTGAGAAGTTGATTTATAATATTCATCAATACTATAAAAAGCATGTTCAGTGAGACAGCTTTTTAATAAAATTTGTACTCTTTAATATCTTTGGATAGCAACTTAATGTTTGAGGGTAAGTGGTTATAAACCATGCTACACGAGAAGAGCACTCCTTTTTGGACTATAGATAGATCTGTAGAAGGTAAATATAAATTGTGATTATATCGTGTGTTGATATCATGAATCCATGTTAGGTGAGGTCCCTGTCACCACGGCATGGTGCGTCCTCAGGTTGCAGATGGAGATGCCCTCCAGTTTTGGAGGGAGCTGTGAATATATTGAATAAGCAGTCGCAGACAGCTGACAAGGGGTTGCCCTCCAGCTCGGGGGTTGGGCGTGGGGCTAACAACTCCACACCATAAAAAATCACTATGTTACGAAAATGAACACAAAGCCTTGGACCTGGACTGATTCCTTGGATAAACAACCTAAGCTAATGAAAATGGATATGAGATTTGGCACTTGGAATGTATGAAGTTTGTACAGGGCAGGTTCGCTCAGGGCAATGGCAGAAGAAATCTTAAAATATGTTAGATTTTGCGGGAGCACAGGAGGTCAGATGGGATGAAGGTGGCATCACACCAGCAGGAGCCTATACATATTTCTATGGAAAGGGGAATGAAAATCATGAATTAGGTACAGGTTTTTTCATACATAAGAGAATCATATCAGCAGTTAAAGAGGGTAGAATTCGTTAGTGATAGGATATCATATATAATACAAAAAGGTCGCTGATGTGATATCACTGCTATAAATGTTCATGCCCCAACAGAAGATAAAATTAATGACATAAAGGATANGGTCATATACAATAATATAAACACTGATACAGATGTAGTGAAAACATAAGCTGTGTAATTATATTATCCATAGGAGACACAATCAAGAAAAAGTGTTCGTTGAGAAGTTGATTTATAATATTCATCAATACTATAAAAAGCATGTTCAGTGAGACAGCTTTTTAATAAAATTTGTACTCTTTAATATCTTTGGATAGCAACTTAATGTTTGAGGGTAAGTGGTTATAAACCATGCTACACGAGAAGAGCACTCCTTTTTGGACTATAGATAGATCTGTAGAAGGTAAATATAAATTGTGATTATATCGTGTGTTGATATCATGAATCCATGTTAGGTGGGGTCCCTGTCACCACGGCATGGTGCGTCCTCAGGTTGCAGATGGAGATGCCCTCCAGTTTTGGAGGGAGCTGTGAATATATTGAATAAGCAGTCGCAGACAGCTGACAAGGGGTTGCCCTCCAGCTCGGGGGTTGGGCGTGGGGCTAACAACTCCACACCATAAAAAATCACTATGTTACGAAAATGAACACAAAGCCTTGGACCTGGACTGATTCCTTGGATAAACAACCTAAGCTAATGAAAATGGATATGAGATTTGGCACTTGGAATGTATGAAGTTTGTACAGGGCAGGTTCGCTCAGGGCAATGGCAGAAGAAATCTTAAAATATGTTAGATTTTGCGGGAGCACAGGAGGTCAGATGGGATGAAGGTGGCATCACACCAGCAGGAGCCTATACATATTTCTATGGAAAGGGGAATGAAAATCATGAATTAGGTACAGGTTTTTTCATACATAAGAGAATCATATCAGCAGTTAAAGAGGGTAGAATTCGTTAGTGATAGGATATCATATATAATACAAAAAGGTCGCTGATGTGATATCACTGCTATAAATGTTCATGCCCCAACAGAAGATAAAATTAATGACATAAAGGATAGATTCTATGAAGAACTAGAACATGTATTTGATAAATTCCCGAAGTACTCTATGAAAATTTCAATGCCAAAGTAGAGAGGGAAGACATTTTCAAACCAACAATTGGGAATGGGAGTTTGCATGAAATTAGTAATGATAATTGAGTTAGAGTAGTAAACTTTGTTAC